TATAAATAATAAATTTCCCGTCATTTAAAAATATAGTTCAAAATTATTAGAATTGACAGTCAAATTTTAATATCTTTAATTTCTCTTTTTTGATCTATTAGCATAAATTTTAACTTTGATTGCTATTACATTAAAAATAATTACTACAACTTCTTTGAACGGTTTATAAACATAGAAGTGTACTACTATTAAGATATAATAATAATTATATAAAATTTCTAAAAATTTTAAGTTATTCTTTATTAGAATAAGCTAATTATAATAGTAAATTCACTATTAGACAAACTAGTCAGTCATTTTCTTATTAAATTATTTATTATATAAAGAAAATATGAAGGAAATATATGCTGAAACATGGACATAGATAAATTTATTAGACAATGGAGAAATAAAATTTCTAAATAAGTACAGAAAGAAATATTATTTTGAAAATCAAATGTCAAGGAAATATAAATGAAGAGTGAGTATTTTAGTTTTATTTTGAATAATTTGAAAATTCAAGTATTCATATTTGCGGTATATGGTATATGATGTTCGATGTTAATAAAGTATTAAGACTCTAAGTATTAACTTATAATGCAAAATTAGATACATAGATTATTTACTCATTACTTTTTTAGTGGCACATTAAGTTTTAGTTTTATTTTACATTTGATGTTTATAATATTTTGCATAAAAAACTGTGAAATAATGTTTGAAGGTTCTAATTATGCAGATTTCTACTATGTGATTCTTTCCTTTTTTATAACAGGAGATGTAATAAAATAGATTATGTAGATTATGAGTTGGTTATTTGATTATGCATTTTTATCACCTGCATTTTGTTTTGCACTAATTTATGTTTGGTGTAAAAGAAAACCATTTGAAACAACGAGATTTTATTTTGGATTTCAATTTAAGAGTGAATATTTTCCTTGGGTTTTAATTGGTTTTCATGCAATAACAGATTAAGATATAGTTTAAGATCTAATTGGTTTAGGAATTGCCCATTCATATTTATTATTGAAAGATTTTCTTCCAGTTACTCATAGTATTGCACTATTAGAAACACCTTAATTTTTGTAAGCATTACATTTTTAATATATGTTAGTAAAAATTTTGTGAATGAACATATTGTTAAATATGCACCTTTTGCAAGAAACAGATTTAATTAATAATTCTAATAACCATAAAGACAAAATATCTTTTAATGATAAGGTATGCGCTTAGGATGATAAATAAAGCATTTGAGTATATATAAATCATTAACCAAGAATTTTTCCAAAAATATTTTTATGTAATAGATTTAATATATTTTTTGGGTTTAACTTTTCCTCTTTCTTTTCTATAATTTATACTATTGGTATGAATTACGGTCTAACAAAATATGGTTCTTTTTCAAAATAGTGATTTTATAAAAAATGTTAAATGATCTAGTTTTATTTTTTTTATTTTTTTAATTCTTAATAATATGAAGTAAACATTGTATCTCTAAAAAATGGCATTAATCTTTCTAATTCATTCATTCTTGTTATTTTAATTGAATAAAATTCTAGTATTCCAACTATAAAATTCTATATAAATGCTTCTCCATACAATAAGAACATTTCTAATATTAACCTAGTAAATTTTTTTTCTTATTTTTACATTAACATAGTAAAATAATATTAACTAAAACAAAAACATAAGTTTTCCTATAAATAAATTAATATTTAATTACAATATTATTACATTATAGATGTACAAGAATTTCATTACATCTATTTTCTATCATTTATTCTAACTAAAAAATTCTTTTATGAATACCAGGAACTCCTTAAATAAATAAATCTTCCATTGATTTCATTAAATGTACAAACATCCAAAACATTTCTTTTTCATTTTCAATAACTTCAACATTATCTAATTCTACTTATTTATCATTTCCATCAATGCTTAATAATAGAATTATCTTTCCACAAATAATATTCATTCCTTATGTATATCCTATTTTAGGATTATATATAGCATATGGACATAAAATCCTATATAAAAGATTAGTATATTTTTTATTATTCATTTTATCTTCATAACCAGTTCTTGGAACATCTTTTTATATTTAATCTTCTATAATTTAAGGAGGTTTCTTATCAAAATATTATTTAGCATCTCCTTTTTCAATAAATGTCATCCATATAGCTTTTCTTATAAAAATATATTATATATTTTTACTTTAAATAAGGAATGCCTCTTTATTGTATTAATGTAGCTGCTAAGTATAATTTTTAATCATCAGCTAAATATTATTTTTTAGTAAGTTAATGTAATTAATCATTATTAAATAATGGTATAGGTACATTTTTTGGTTCTAATTTAATAAACAATTTTATATTTTTCTATCATCTCAAATTCATCATCAATTTAATCATTTATAATCTCATCACCAATCTATTTTTTCTATTCACCTGTTATAAAATTGGATTGAAATAATGAACAATTAAGTTAAGAATCAAATGATCCTTTTCTTTATCTTATTGTAGCTTATTTCATTATATATATTTTAATTTTATTACTCAATATTCTGCATTTAATATGGCTTATAGAATGATAAATTGATAATATTAACAAAGTTGTTAATATTAGCATCAAATATAATAACTAAGTTTTTGCAACGTAATACTATTAAATTATATATTTAAAATGAATTTATATGATAATTGGGGATGGGACATAGAAGAATAATGTTATTTAGATACATTATTTACAAGTTATTTACCTAAATTAGAAAGAAGAATCTCTGAAAATAGTAGTCATAGATATAAGAACTTTGTCTCAACCAAAATAGTTTAACCAATAATAAACTTCAAGCAATTCTTTACATAATCATAGACAAACTCATAGTTAAGCTTACTAAATAGGTTCTTTTAGTGCTAACTTTTATGCTCCTTCTACTACTAAAAGTCGAATTCGATTAAAATTCACTCCTACATATTCTCAACAAGAAGAATAACAAAAATAAAAAAATATTTCATAATCTCCTATTAAAAAGAAACCAAAATATACTATTATTAATATGAGTTAATTATTATCAGTTACCCCTAAAGTTAAAATGCATTAAGATTCCTTGAATAAAGTTCTTGAACGATTTTCCAATAAAAAAAGATGAAACATACAACTATTATAATATTTAATGAACTCTTTTTATTTTTATCTTCTAAATTATTTAGTTTATAATTACGAATTATATACAAATACAAATATTGATATAAATATATATATATGCTTCATCTAAATGTAACTTAATTAATTAATATTTATATCATATAAATTTTATGCCTAAACAAGTATAGTAAAAGTAAGCAGGAGGAAAGTTTGTTTCAACTGGTGATCCTGTAGCAGATGATAGAAATTGGATAGGAAGAGTTAATAATGAATTAACATGTACAGCTGCTTGGAATAGAGATTGGGGATTCTTAGCAGGCAATTCAGAAAATCTTAAATTAGAGGATGCTACTAAACCTTATAATATAGATGAATAAATTAAAAATCTCTAATAAGTATTTCTAAATATTTATATTTATTAGGAAATTGAAAAAATTGAAGTTGATCCAAATAAAATTACAATTAACAGAACCTATGGTAAAGGAGATGCTTTAGAAAAGTTTCAAACTGATCAATATAATAAAACAAGAAACAAAGACCTTAAACCTTAAGATAGAAAAATTCCTAAAACTTGGAAATATTAAAAAGGATGGAAACCAGAACCTGACCCTTATGATCCAATCTAAAATATGTTCAAAAGTAATAAAAAGAAATGAACTAAATGTTCAAATTTAGAATATTATCAGTCATTTTTTATTATAAATTATAACATCATCATAAAAATGGAATAATCCAAATCTCTTTTTCTAATCTTAACATATAATTTTATAGTTTAAATACATTCTATTTTATTCAAATTATTAATTAACAATAAGATATTCTAATACTAAGTTGTTAACACTATTTCTATGCTATTTAAAAAACTAAAAAAATTATTATTTAAGACGATTAATTATTAAAATATTTATTTTTGAAGTAAATAAGTTAGAAACTGTTTTAAATAATAGAATTGTGATATAAATATTAGCATAAAGAACTAATATTTTTATAATTTAGGCAATTTGAGAATTGAGATAGCAGAAAATTTAATAGAAAATTTGATTATTTTGTGTATTATAATGAGGTTTTAAGTTGTTATATTGAATAATATATGGTTTTTCGATAATTGAGAATAACATAAATCTTAATATACAGTAATGAGAGAGTGTTGTGGTAAAAAAAATAAGTTTTAAAGTTAAGTATTTTGTGTAGGATTTGTTCATATTTATAATAGNTACTTAAAGTCAAGCTTATTAAATAAATTCTTATAGTGCTAACTTTTATACTCCATCTACAACTAAGAGTAGAATTAGATTTAAATTTACTCCTACTTATATACAAGAAGAATAACATAAATAAAAAAATATTTCATAATCTCCTATTAAAAAAAAACCAAAAATATACTATTATTAATATGAGTCAATTACTATCAGTCACACCTAAAGTTAAAATGCATCAAGATTCCTTAAATAAAGTGCTTGAATGATTTTCCAATAAAAAAAGATGAAACATACAACTATTATAATATTGAATGAACTTTGTAGTTTTTATCTTCATATTTAATTAGTTTATATTTATTAACACAAATTTCGATATATATATATGCTTCATTTAAATGTAACTTAATTAATTAATATTTACATCATATAATTTATGCCTAAACAAGTTTAATAAGAATAGGCAGGAGGGAAATTTGTTTCAACAGGAGATCCTGTTGAAGATGATAGAAATTGGATTGGAAGAGTTAATAATGAATTAACATGTACAGCTGCTTGGAATAGATATTGGGGATTTTTAGCAAGCAATTCAGAAAATCTTAAATTAGAGGATACTACTAAACCTTATAATATAGATGAATAAATTAAAAATCTATAATAAGTAATTCTAAATATTTATATCAAAAGGAAATCCAAAAAATTGAAGTTGATCCTAATAAAATTACAATAAATAGAACTTATGGTAAAGGAGATGCTTTAGAAAAGTTTTAAACTGATCAATATAATAAAACAAGAAATAAAGACCTTAAACCTTAAGATAGAAAAATTCCAAAGACTTGGAAATATCAAAAAGATGGAAACCAAAACCTGATCCTTATGATCCAATCTAAAATATGTTCAAAAGTAATAAAAAGAAATGAAATAAATGTTCAAATTTACAATAATTATTTATAAGTTCATCATTATAAATGCAATTATCGAAATCAATATTCTGTTCTTTTATTTAGTTTCATAGATATTTATTATTTATCAATGAAATGTCATAGTATATAAGTTGTATATCAAATTTCTTTATTGTTTATACAAGTAAAAAAAACAAGTGAGTTTTTTTTATACTATTTAAATATTAATAATTTCTATTTTGGAGCATATTAGCAAAAAGTTATTGCTATAAAAATATAAATATAAAGAACCATTATTTTTATGATTTAAACTTTTTAAGAAACAAAGTAATAGAAAATTTATGAAAAGTATTTTATTACTTAAAACATTTTATTGAAATGTTTAAGTTGTTTTTATTGAATAATGTATTGTTCTTAGATAATATTATGAATGGTATAAGTGATAATGTATTGTATAATTAGAGTTAAATTAGAAAAGTTCCATAATGTAATAATATTATGATTTAAAAATGTTGTTCATATTTATAATAGTATGGAATTAGCAAATAAAATAGTGAATTAAGATTAGATAGAAATTAATAAAATCATAAGAGAGGACAAAGCAGGTACAAAAATATAGAAAGGTGTTAAGAAACACAAAATAACATTTATAGATGAAATAGAGAAAGGGAAAGAAGCTCATACAGTAATTGAAGTAGAATGTTGGGAAAAATATAATTATGTGTTTCACCTGAAACAGAAGTAGTAGATGAATGCTGTTAGTTTATTTGATTGCAAATATTAATTGTAATTTAATTTGGTTAAGAATTGCATAAGACTCATTTTCAAATATTAAATATAGTCTTTTATTTTCATATAACAATCATATAATATATCATATTATAATGTTAACATAATGTGATGATTAAATATAATAATTAATGAAAAACTATCATCTAGAGTAGGATAGGCAACAACAACATCAGATTTATCAAAAAGTAACATACTCTTTTAATCGCTACTCCAATCTATTTTAACAATATAAAAGTTTTTATCAAATGGCATATCACAAGCTGAAGTACAAGTAGGATTTCAAAAGAAAATCTTACTATTTCCAGTACAAACCGTTAATGTTGTAGAATTCTTTGACCATATAAAATATTTTATAGGTAATATTTAAACCATTATAGCTTTTAGAGTTAATAACTCCATATCCCAAATAAATACACAATTTTGCATTCCATCAAATTTTGTTACAATATAATCATCTATATAGCTCCATTCCAATAAACTAATTCCATTCTATGCTTTCTATATATTTATTTTACCACCCTACTATTCCATTTATGTAACTAATTATTTACTATTTTATATACATTTAGTAACTACTCTCTATGAATATTAATCAGAATATTCTTCTTCCTTATAAATTAATACGTCTTTTGTTATTTTATGTTCTAATTCTGTTACCTATTTTAAAGTTAATAAATTTATTAATCTTAATTTTTCATCATTTGCTCCAACAGCCATTAAATCACTTTGATTTTCAAATCTACTTACTTTTATCCCTAAAGAATATTAATAAGATTCAAATTTCAATTATAATCCTTAACATGGACAATGTAAATTTAAACGAAACTAATTATTACTATTTATATTCTTACATTTAACTCTGTATCTTA